TAAGTCCTGGAGGCAGACAGTAATGGATTTCTGGATTCTCAGATGATTAGAGGCCTTGAAGCACCCCCTGAGATAATCTATTCCAGCCTCCTGCTACACAGCAGAAGCCTCCCTTACCCAGCCCTATTTCTCATGCCACAAAACACAACTTAAGCTAGATAATGGAACTGCTAGGCTCCAGATGTGGGGAGCGGCCTACAACTTGCTTGCCTGCTGAGTTACAGAAGAAAAGTAAAATGGCATTCTAGAATTGGAAACTCTTGTTCAGTGAGGTTTCTAACACTCTTCCCTTCTTTCACCATTTTATAAATGACCATAGCATCCTCCCATGATTTTTATTGCAGACTCCTGCTCTTTCCCCCTATGTTTTCCCCTCCCCACAGGTAACTCACCCTTTAATCAAATCGCATTCATACAAATGCGGCTTGAACTGGACTATCAGATAAATGCTGTGCCAACATTTTCCTCTACATTTTTGGACCAATCTAATTCAGTGCACTAGAAAAGAATTTGCCTTCAATTCCACTCTCCTCCACTTCAGGAAAGTAAATCTGCAATGAAATTCTCATGCGTGGGATATAGAGATATTGCACTTATCTTAATTACAAGGTGATGAAGTGGTTCCTTTATTAAACCATCACCGTTCCAGTGATCTGTAACCTTCCACGTTTTCCACACTTGATTTAAATTCCGTGGGAAGACAAACAGGAAAGAAAGTGTCTCATGATCTTGTTTTTTTTTTTTTTTTTAAGTTTAAGGTAGTCAGGAAAGCTGCAGAGTGATGGAGAGAAAACATCAACAGCCTTCCTCACCATACAAAGAATTGAAAATAAATTCCAAAGCACCCTGAGATTCAGTGCAGTATGAATCTTGATGCCAGAGAACTACTACTACTTCCTCCTCCTCCTCCTCCTCTTCTTCTTCCTCCTCCCTGCATGTTTTTTTTTTTTCCTTAAAGGAAGGCTATGTGGCCTTATTGGCAGAACAAGCCAATTATTCTTAATCACAGGGTTTTATTTTTTTCACTTAGCATAAACCTAGACTGTTAGGTTTGTTTAGAAATTAGTGTACTCTGCAAACCCCAAAAGTGGGTTAATTCAGTAACCAAATTAAGTATGTTGCATGAAAGTAGCCAGTAGGATAGGTCCTTAGAAGCACATTTATCTTGCATTTGAAATTCCAGGAGAGATAATTGCGTGATTTGAAACCTGTGATTTGAAACTGCATCATATTCTTCTACAATAAGCTTTTTTTATCCCCTATAATTCAGCAATAAAAAATATGCTCTAATCCTCTTAAAATCAAACACATGCGCACACACATATATGGGTCTATCTATTCATCCATCCATCTACAGGTAGTCCTCAGGTTATAACAGTAACTGGGACCCAAATTTCCATCTGTAAGCAATGCGGTCATAAAGTGTGATGTCATGTGACTGCGTCGCTTGGCGATGGCAATCCTGGCAATCCCTGTTGCCATTGTTAAGTGAGGATCATGGGTCATTAAGCGAGGATCTCATGTGATTGAGACTTGTGACTTCCTGCCAGCTTCCAACAAGCAAAGTACCAATAGAGGTGAATATGCTTCCAACAAGCAAAGTCAATGGGGAAGCCAGCAGGAAGGGGTAAATCCCAGTGATGATAAGTCTTTCCTTAGGTGGCTCACAAGCAGGTTGGTGAGTGGGTGAGTGCAATGGAGTGCAGGTGGGCAGGGGAGTGGGTGGAAGCAGGATAGAAAGAATATTCATGTCTTTGAACTTTGGTGTTGGAGAAGACTTCTGAAAATACCGTGGATAGCCAAGAAAACCAACAAATCAGTTCAAAGTTCTCACTTGGCAAAAATGAGCAGGCTCAAATTATATTTTGGACACATTATGTGAAGACCTAGCTCTCTTGAGAAGTCTATAATGCTGGGAAAGGTGGAGGAAAGAGAAGATGATGAGCAGCAGCAAGGTGAATTGACTTGATTACAGTGTCAATGGTGCAACATTGGAAGACGTGAAGGGCCAGACTGGGAACAGATCATCCTGGAGAAAGTTTATCAGTGGGGCTGTTAAGAGCTGACATTGACTTGATAGCACAAAATCAATCAATCAATCAATCAATCAATCAATCAATCAATCAATCAATCAATTATAGCATAATATGTCAGTTGCACATAAAAAGCTAGTTATGATAATGACATTGCCTTTTAAACTGATTATTCCACAGTTCCCCATATACAAAACATCAAATTATAGTTAATTATTTTTCCTACTTAGCCAGCCACCATTCCATGCCACTGGATGTCTTTACATTTTTTGGATGTCTTTACATTTTTTCTAGTATCCTTACATTTTTGCGAACCTGAATCTAATCCCCAGAAAATGTATTAGTATTAATAGATATGACAGTGGTGATCAGCGTTAGATGATGACAGCCTTGCGTTGGTAGGCATAGGTTTTTGGAAAGGTATTATGTAAATATGATGCTAAACTATAAATAACAGTGTCTTTTTTATTTTCAGGCTATACTTTGATCCGCATGGATTCTGTGCACCATCACACAACAGGACGTCCACATTTCCTCTAAACTGTATTTCCAAATGCTCCATGAAAATCTTCCCCCATCTTCCAATTCCCTGGAACTGGTTTGGAGAGAACATGCAGGATTTCTGGGTGAGGTAATGAGGAATTTGTTCCACTGGTAGAATCCATTCATCTGACAGATGGACTCTTTTGGATACTATTCAATAATTGACATGTTTGATCTAACATAACAGAGAGAAACTACATTATGACTGCTGGGTGTCTGAAGCATTCGACAAACACAAACAGCACTTACCATGCCTTACCTGGAAATAAGCTTTATTGAACATAGTTGTAAAATTATCTTTTTCAGTTGAATTACTGAATCATCAGCACAAACTTTTTTCTACAGTTTTTTTTAAAAACCAAGCCTCATCATTTTTACTGCATTTCTTTGTGCTTTTTTAATATTAATATTCTCAAATGTTATACTTTGTTTTCTTTTAATATCCGAATTATTTGCATATAAGTTTTTTCCCCTCTTCTCATCTTAGGGTACTGAAAGAACATATAATAACCATAATAATTATAATAATAACTCTTGCTTAGACAAAACTCTTTTTTTTTTAATGAAGTTAAAAGCTGAGATAATTTACGGAAAAAAGATCTTCAAATTTTCATTACCAACTCATAGAAAGGGAAATTTACAGTGTATTGGAAAATTGGCTAAAGATAGGGATGGGATGGAGCCAGGTAGCTGAAAATAATTTTTACAGGTTTTATTTATTTTTTTGTAAAAGTGATTTTTTAAATTTTGCTAAAATAATAAAATAATATTTCACAATTTGCACAGAGTCTGATGAAAGGGCAGAGGCCTTATCTTCTCCGTGTTTGGAAATGAAACCAGGTCAGCTGGCCTGCTTTTGCCATAAAGAGTCTCTCCTTTTTTACCTTTCCTATATGCACTGTGACCTTTCTTGATCAATCTTATTTTGAGCAGAGGTTAGACTATGAAAAAACGGTGTGCGCGCATGCACGCAGGTGTTTCTGCATTAAAATTCACCATTGCCAAGTATGTTGCCTCCTCAGCCTTCTGGCACTAATGGACCCCACTTCAAAACTTGAAAAATACAGGCTGATCCATTTCCGAAGCTGCAATAGAAGCCATTTCCTCCTGGATCAGATGTTCCAAAGGCCATGATTTTGGGGACGGCTTAGTAGCAAAAGAGCTGAAGCTCAGAAGGACTTTACACTGTCATTCAAGTCAATCCGTCTCTAGAAGTAGCTTTCCTGTGTTTTTAATTTCTTCCTCAGTTGGTAGCTTTGCTCTTCTACTTTGCTTTAGAAAAAGAGGATGTTCTTTTTTTTGGAACTGCAAACCTCACTGGAGCTATACAAGCTTCTGTCTGCTGGAATAATTTTTTTTTTTGTTTTTTGCATGTGCACATGTGTGTATGTTCCCCCTACCCCATTTTCTCAGGCTTGTTATCATTGAAGGCACTTGGTTTCCATGGCATTTTAGAAAAAAGATGGTAGTTTGGTTTTTTGTCACTTGATTAGGACAGATGATGTTCACTGGGAGTGGGATGTGGGAGGAGCAGGGCAAGGGCAAGTGGGCTGGGGCTCAGAAGACCACGGGGGAGAGTGTTGGATATGTTCAAGTGGCCACACAAGCAAACTCTAGACAAGCCAGTGTGGCTGTTGTCACCATAAGTATGTCCTGGACTTAACAGAACACATGCAAAGCGGAGACCACGTATAGTTTCTAGCAATTGCCATGAGGAACTTCAGCAGAATGTCTTCAACAACTCCGGCGCCTCGGGTTGCTCCCTGCCTGCGGCTGGATCGAGCTCGATGCTTAAAAACCTCGTGTGGAAGGTGAAGGTGGGGGGAAACGCCAGCTCCTCTCGTACCCTGTTTGACAGTGAGGTGAAGGGATTTTTCTCTCCTCCGTGCTCGCTCTTGCTCTCTTCTGTTATGAAATCTCTTTTGGGGCAGGCCATTAAGGTTCCATGGCAACAAGCAAACTAGTCTTTGAAACAAAACAAGCCATGACTTTGTGCTTTGACAAGGAATTCTATAGCTCTTTTGACAGAGTTCTCCCAATGAATGCTTGGGGTGTGTGTGGGGGGGCGGGTGTTGGTGTCATTTCTCTCTCCTTTTGTTCATTTGTTACTACTTCACCACAAGAGCACCTGAAGGCCTCTCTCCTTCACTTCCAGAACATGCGGTCCACATGGTACATTTATTT